TGACTTGGGACGGCCCGTGGCCATGCGCGACGTGCGCTGGCGACGGCTTTGAGCCATTTCACGAATAAACTTCAACTTGTCTTGACCAACATGAATCTACTGATTATAAAATGATCTAAAATGACCATATAAATAAGAATTGTTCATGAGCTGCCGGATAGAATACGAAGTTACTCGGTCATGACTAATAATGGCCTAAACCGAGTCTAACATGACATAGTTATGAATTTCTGAAACATGAACCGAACACTTCATTCGTAGATGACCTTATTAACATGAAAAGAGGTTGAGGGTGGCTTTACCTCCTCAAGTGTTCGACGGAATTCGCAAGCTGATCGTGACTTTGCGTGTGCGTGTCCGTGTGCGGTATCCCTACCTCTTGCCGTGCGATGCTTCGCCGTACGCCTACTGGTACTCACCGTGCCTTCAATACTCAAGAACTTCTACTAATCTCACTAACTCTCCTACTCTTAACCTCAGATTGCATGAAGACGTGTATAAAGGATGAAAAGAGGTGGGCAAATTTTCCCAAACTCCCCATTTTATAGCCACCGAATTAAACTATGGGTGATGAGGTTAGGATGTGGTTAACCTAGGCTAATGACACTTGGAAATATTATGGAGTGCTAGGGATGACTAATCACTTAGTTAACCCTCATAATGACACGTATACAATACTTAAAAGTGAAGAAAGAATTTCCCAATTTGGAAGGAATTATGCACGGCATTTAGCACTTTGGGAATATTGAGCACGATTAATGCTTAATACGTGATTAACTAATAATTAATCACCTCTTTTATGTTTAATTTTTTAATTAAACATAATGCTTAATTACCAAAATTATTCCGAACGTAAACGGTACGTCGAAAATAATTTTCGGTAATCTCGACTGAAAATAATTAATTCCAAAAATAATAATCAATAACATTATTATATCGGAACTAAAAACATAATTTATATTGATAAACTGACGGGATATTACATATATAATATAACATATGTTATATAATATAATATATTTTATTATATACTATATGTTATTGTTATTATATTACAATGTTATATTATAACATATGTTATATAATAACATAGATGTTATAATACAACATTTTTTGTTAACATATAACATATGTTGCATAATATATCATATGTTATATAATATAACATATGTTATATTATAACATATGTTTAGGGTTTAGGGTTTAGGGTTATATAATATAACATACTAATTCGACTTCAATTGTACTGATTCGACTTCAATTGGACTGATTCGACTTCAATTGTACTGAGTTGACTTCAATTGGATTGATTCGACTTCAATTGTACTGATTCGACTTCAATTGGACTGATTCGACTTCAATTGTATTGATTCAACTTCAATTGGACTGATTCGACTTCAATTGTACTAAGTTGACTTCAATTGTACTGAGTTGACTTCAATTGGACTAATTCGACTTCAATTGGACTAATTCGACTTCAATTGTACTAATTCGACTTCAATTGTATAAAATTGACTTCAATTGTACTAAGTTGACTTCAATTGTACTAATTCGACTTCAATTGTACTGATTCGACTTCAATTGGACTGATTCGACTTCAATTGGACTAATTCGACTTCAATTGTACTGATTCGACTTCAATTGTACTAAGCTGACTTCAATTGTACTGATTCGACTTCAATTGGACTGATTCGACTTCAATTGTACTGATTCGACTTCAATTGGACTGATTCGACTTCAATTGTACTGATTCGACTTCAATTGTACTGATTGGACAGTTACTTGCGCAGCTTGAAAATTCCGGCTACCAATTTCATACTCAAGTCTTCTAGACTTGGACCCTTGATAGATTCCAAAAGTGAATCTGCTTTCAACAAGGTTGTCCAGCAAATTGGGTTCTTAGGGACCCAATTATCACATAAAGGGAAGTTCTATTCCGAGATTTTGTTGAAGGAGATGTCGTCCCTTTTCCAAAAGAAGTATCCGTCCTTTGATGATTATCCTGCTGAAAAATTTGGCTTGGTTGGTAGAAACCTCTTCCGAGGGTTGGATCCGTATCAGGAAATGGTTCATTCAATATCCAGCAGAGAAGTAATTATCCTCAGAGACGTTGTCATATACTAATTCGACTTCAATTGTACTAATTCGACTTCAATTGTACTAAGTTGACTTCAAAAGATTTCTCCATTGCTTTATCATCTGCGTTCTTGTTATAATGAATCAGTTGCTTTGCAGCTGGACAGTTACTTGCGCAGCGTGAAAATTTCGGCTACCAATTTAATACTCAAGTCTTTTATAATGATTTATTTGTAAAACGTATTATCAAAATACATTTTACACAAAACGTATTTTGACAATACGTTTTTTGCTGAATTATTTATAGAACGTATTTTGAAAATACGTTTTCTACTGAATTATTTATAGAACGTATTTTGAAAATACGTTTTAACCTGGGAAAAAAAATAAAAAAACTTGGTGATGATCACACGACTCGAACGCACCTGTTTTAAATATTCAAAACAACCAACTAAACCAAAACTACACGAACAAATCAACCAATCTACCTTAAATATCATCAAACCAAGTCCAAACAAATCATACAAACAAATCCAAATAAATAATCCAAACAAAACAAAATAAATAATCCAACCAAATCCAAATAAATAATCCAAACAAATCCAAATAAACAATAAAAAATCTAATCTCCCCACACATCACGAAGTCTAGACCTATCGCTGCGAGGATGTGAGGACGGACACTCATCCACAACATGCTCTGGATCACCGCATCTAGTACAATGCCCCCTCTCATTTCTGCGTCATGCCCGACGATCCATTTGCATGCGGTAGCGTCTCGTTTGCTTGCGACCGGGTCCAGGCTTCAAGATGATCCTCTCCCAGTGTGGAATCAAATTCCATCCCACCGGCTGCCATGTATCCGGATTACCAATCAGAGTAAAACTCTAATTAGTAAATTGAGCTACCCAGGACGACGTCCAGAAGTGATCATCGTACAATAGCTTTGGGTCACCCTCAATTCTACGACAGACGGCTATTGCATGAGAACACGGTTTTCTATGCGTCTGCCACTTCCGACAAGTGCAACGTTTTCCGGGGTAATCAACTTTATACCTGTATTTCAACATTGATTTATATAATACAAAAAAAAAAAAAATGAATGAAAAAAAAAACATATACTTACTTGTTTTGCCCTCCTCCACTAGCGCGTAGACCGGTTGTCACCGCGTACATCGATTTATCGTAGTCCGTACATTCCACCTCGTGAGTTGCGGCAGTTTGCTCCAACTGCAAAAATGCGACATAGTGCAAATGAGCAATGGGACTCCTGCATCTGCTGGCTTTGTTTTTTTCTTGTCGAAACAAATCCAGAGTTTTTTGAAATGTGGCCTCTACCAAAGCTCTGCACGGCAGGAACCTAACCCCTTTCAGGACATTGTTGTAACTCTCCGACATATTCATTGTCAAAGTGCCCCATCTACGTTTTTCATCCCGATACAGGATCCACAGGTTCAAAGGAATGTTGAAAAGATAACTGTATGCGTCGGGATTAAGTTCTTGAAGTCGCTGTTTTGTCTGTCGAAACTTTTGCTTCGACAACTGTGAACCCAACTCCCAACACCAATCCCAGATTTTCTTACTCCTGAATCGAGTCACCACGTTGCTTCGAAGGTGTCGAAGGTAAATCCGGTGATACGTAGCGGGTTCTTGCCAATCCGGTAATAATTCAATCGCACTGAGTAGACCACATCCCTGTCAGAAAGAACGCATATCTGTCTGTCGAATACAACATATCGCCGCAGATTCCTAAGGAAAAATGACCAACTGCCCGTGCTTTCTTCGTCGACAAGCGCATATGCGATTGGCAATAGCCGCTTATTCGCAGTCTGTGCTACGGCCACGAGCAATTTCCCTTTGTAATGTCCACGTAAATGTGTGCCATCAACGCTAATAACTAGCGGGCACATTTCGAAGGTTCGAATCGCGGGACCAAACGCCCAGAACACATATTTAAATTCTCTGTCTGGAACGTGTCGGGCCACATCACCACCCTGAAATTCCCAATCTACAGCTGTGTTGGGATTCGCTCTTTGAAGCACGGCAAAATATCTGTACAATACAAAACAATTTCATAAATA